CCCTGTGCTTTGCTAAGCTTGTTCTAAGTAGGTGCTTTAGACCACTGAGCCATCTCACCAGCCCAGAAATTCAATTCTTAAAAGCCCCCAAAACAGGGTGGGAGAATCATCCAGCTCCAGCTCCCATCTCCAACATATTTGGCCTGGGCTAACTTGTCACCTGCCTGAGCAAGCTTGGAGTTCTATATATACTGTTTATTTTTTAATTTTATTTTATTTTTTGGTATTGGGGATTGAACTCAGGACCTTGCGCTTGCCAGGCAAGTGCTTATTCTACTGAGCTATCTCGCCAGCCCCCTATACTGTTTAGTGATGAGATGAACAGGCACTGGCATGGTGCTTCCTTCAACCCCCATCCTGGCTTGATGCATGATACGGTTAACTCCAAGCTCTGGGTTACCAGAATGGAGGCTTATGCCCCCACCCCCAAGATTCCTTAAGTGCAGGTCTGGTAAGATATGAGGATCTGGGAAATCGAACCACAGAATTCAGAGTCTGACTGCTTTGCTTAAGCAGGAACTTTTAACAACTGAGCTAATGGGCAGGCTCCCACAGAGGCTTTCTGAGTCATGGCGCAGGTACAATGGGAATTTTCCAAATGGCTCCAAGGACAGACTGGTCATTGTTGCAAGGCAGGAAAGGAGTTGCAGCAGTGGCAGAGATTCCATAAGGTCACTGCAAGGAAGTGGAGGACAAAAAGATGCCCATGATACCACACTTTGGGGATGTTGAGCCAAGGAGTTTTTGAAGAGAAAATAGTGACAGGCTTTGCCAGCCAATTAAAGAAGCTGCTTTCTTATTCTTAGTTTTTAGCAAGTCCATTGAGCCTAGAATTAGCAGAGCTAAGTGATGAGGCTCTGAATTGGGTTCTGAGAGGCAAAGTATGCTGCTCATAAATTGAGGGAAGAAAGCCACCTGCTCCCCGTGCCTGTATCGCCTGGAGGACCCTGTATAGCTGCACTCCAGGAGCTGGTCTAGGGCTCATTTGAATCCACCAGCTTTCCTTTCAAAGCCCCTCATTGATTGTGGGGGACAAGTTGGGGAAGATTTATTGAAAGCAGCTTATGTTTGGTGCACAGAAAGGGTAGGCAGGAAAAAACTTTCCTACTGTATTCTTTAGAGGGTGCTTGAAAATCTGGGAAAAGCGAGGCTCTGGCATGGCAGCGTGCTCACCCCAGAGCACGTGTGGACATTGCCCCCAGCCAGCTGCATGAAGGGAAGGGTGGTCAGCTTTCACCACCAGCCTCCTTCAAATGCGCTGCCAGCAACATGGGGCAGAGTCCAGACGGGGCTGGCTGCCATGTGTACTCCAGACACATGGCCTGGCTTAGCAGAATCAGGCTCTGCTTTGGGTCCCAAGCCAATGAGGGTCTCAGTTCATGCTAAGGGCGTCACCTCAAGTGCTATACAAGCTCACATCTGGTTTCTCAGGAAGTGAGAGCTACATACACATCTGCTCTTGGGAAGCAGTATTTGTCAAATAAGCCTCGTTTCTCAGCAACCATTGTAGCCCCCAGGGCCACAAGCAAAAGGGGATTTGCCTTTCCTCACCCCGCCTCCCCAAAATGTTTGGAAGAAATTGCTGCTTCTCACCCAGCAGCAGCAGCAACCTTCTGGTTGGACAATACACCCTCTGTCCTAAGCCAGGGGATCCGCCTCTGGAGTCAGCTCTGCCCCTTCCCCCGCTCTGCCTGGTTTCCAGCGCCCAAACCCTCCACGAAGTTCTAACCCAGTGCTCTTTCAGCCAGCACAGCCCTATACCTGAAGCCCCTCCTGTGGTCCTTCCCACCCCAGCGACCTGAGCCCACTATTAAAGGCATGGGCTCACCCCAGGCCATGGAAGAAGGGATTCCGCTTTTGATACCGCGATGGGCCTCTCTCTGCATAGTCAAGGTAAGAAAATCTCAAGGAGGAAGGTCAAAGGGTATTCCTGAAATTCAGCCTCACCTGTTTCAACAGCAGCTTGGCTTTTTCCCCTCCACCCCCACCCCCTGTTTTTTACATATAAATGGTAAGGGTCTCATTATGCAGCTTGGACTCTAGTGATCCTCCTGTTTTTTGCCTCCCCAGCGCTAGGATTATAGGCGTGGGCCACTACATCCTACTCAGTGGCCGCCTCTGCTTGGCCAGGGGCGGGGCCGGCATGGCATGTGGTGACCCCTTTTCCTTCTGATGTGCCTGCTGCTCTGAGCTGGTAATTGAGATGCTTGGCATTAAAAAAAAAAAAGTCCTGGCATGCTCCAAGAATCCTATTTTTATACCACCCCACTGAGCTGCCTCCTTATAATCTACTCTTCATCTTACTCATCAGGTTCCTACAGAATTTAAAATTCTTCCTCTCAACACCCCCAATGAAGGTGGAATTAAGCCTGAGCTGGGAGGGAATTCAGCTACCCATTTTGCAACCCGCTTCCTAGTCCTCCCAATTTTGATTGAATTGAGACTATTCGTATTGATAGTTATAATTGATAGGTATTGTTGACTTATCCTTGTCATATTATTTTTCTCAAAAGTTCCCCCTGTTGGCTGGCCAGGCAGAGTAGTAAGGAGCATGTGGTTCTAGCCCTAACCTCTCTGGGATCCAATCAAATCCCGCTGTGCCTTTAGAGTAGAACCTACTTTTTTTTTAATCAAAGTTTTTATTTGATAAATGTTACACAGCGTTCTTCAACAGTTCACTCTGAGCATACATAGGATGAGAAACAATTTTGTCATTCAAGTTTACAAAATGAAATAGAATAATATTTGAAGTACACACCAAAGGTAGTTGAAGCAAAAGTTAAATATTATGCAACTAAAGAAGCATAAAGGAAATTGTAGTCTAGGTTATAACTACCACCAAGATTCATTTAAAAAAATTAATATCTGGTTTGTCACTGCTATGGTTTGTGTCTAGATATTCCCTCAAACCACATGAAATTGTAGATGAACTTTTGCAGAGGTGGCTGGAACTAGATTAGAACGTACTTTGAGAGATAGTGGGAAGGGCAAGGTGTTAAAACAGCTAGCTGCAGACTCCAAAAAAAATGAACAAATTTCCACATCTCATGTTATTTGATTACATAACCAAATCTTGCCAAAATACACA